CCTCCTCCTCCTCCTCCTCCTCCTCCTCAATGTCTTCTCCTTTGTAAAAATAAACTGATAAACCGCTACAATGAAAGGCATGACCCGTCTTGGGGTCCTCTCAACAGCTGGTAGGAAAGAGAACTCCTTGTTCCCACTCCACCCCATGCTTCACACCTTGAAAGTATTCCCCAGTTTCGACCAGTGTTCTGGTGGGTAGCTGCCATCTTCTCTATGTGCTTCACAGAGGTTCTCTTTGTTGCTTGTCTGAAGCCCCACATATATTCTTTCTCACTTCTCAAATTTTCTCTTTTTCCCCCCTTAGGGAAGATTCCTGTTTTGGGATCCAGACACCCTTGGTAACACGCAGAATATGTCCACAGAGCAGGAGGCCAAGTCAGGATTCAGCCTTCAGATCCCAACGGAACTGGAACAATGGAGGCAGCCGGGGTTCAAAGTGGAAGGTCCAGACACAGCATGCCTCAGCCTAGACGAGGAATCAAGGGACTCAAGAACAGCCCCCCTTGTGACTCAGGGCGAGAGTATTGGGGGATTTGTGCAGAGGAGGCCAGAGGGACAGGTCAAGCAGGAACCAGGTGAGGGTTCGCTTCAGCAGTGGGAAGTCCAGTGGCAGGAGTTTCTGAAGTCGATGGATTCCCCTCACACAGGCCGGCGAATCCCACAGTTGCTAAGGGAGCCCACGCCATGGGATGACACGAAAACCTTCCTGACCTCCTTCGAGCAGGTGGCCGAAGCCTGCCGGTGGCCCAAGGATGAGTGGGTGGCCCGACTCCTGCCAGCCCTCAGCGGGGAAGCGGAGCTGGCCTTCGGCACCTTGGAGGCCAGCGACAGAGAGGATTATGGGAAAGTGAAGGCAGCCATCTTGCGATGGGACACCTTGACCAGGGAGAGGTGGCGCCAACACTTCCGGCATTTCCGCTACCAGGAGGCCGAGGGGCCACGGGGACTCTACAGCCGCCTCCAGGAACTTTGCCGTCAGTGGCTGAAAGTGGAGAGGCACTCGAAGGAGCAGATCATGGAGCTCCTGATCCTAGAGCAGCTCTTGACCGTCCTCCCCACAGAGATCCAGAGCTGGGTGAGGCAGCATGGCCCCGAGAGCTGTTCCCAGGCGGTGGCCCTGGCTGAGGAGTTCCTGCAGCTGCAACAGGAGGCTGACGAGAGACCTGAGCAACAAGTAAGGGGGATTTATGGTGTATACCTTGAGCGTTCTAGGCAGCCGGGGAGGAAGTCTTTGCCTACTTCAGTGCTTTTAGTAGTCCCTTGATAGATGATACTTCCCATGTTGTCCTCTGCTAAGGTTAATTTGCTCTTAAAGCTGTTAGAATTTATGGTGAGCATTGGGGGGGGGGAGCTTATCTTTGTATTTTTTTAACTTCATTTTCTTCCACTTTGGTGTAGTGGTTAGGAGCGCGGACTCTAATCTGGGAAAGCAGAGTTTGATTCCCCACTCCTCCACATGCAGCTGCTGGTGTAACCTTGGGTCAGTCACAAGTTCTCTCAGAGCTGTTCTCTCAAGGGCAGTTCTCGAAAGAGCTCTCTCAGCCCCACCTACCTCACAGGGTGTCTGTTGTGGGGAGGGGAGGGGAAAGGATATTGTAAGCTGCTCTAAGACTCCTTCCGGTAGTGAAGGGTGGGGTATAAATCCAGTCTCTTCTTCTTCCCAGTGGGGACCCAAAGTGGCTTACACCATTCTCCTTTCTTTCCTTTTATCCTCACAACAGCCCTGTGAGGTAGGTTAGGCTGACAGTGTGTGACTGTCATCCAACAAGCTTCTGTAACAGAGTGGGGATTTGAACCTGGGTCTTCCAGATCCTAGTATGACACTCTGAACACTATCCCACACTGCAGCTTTCAGCCCATGTCAACTAGAAATTGGAATCACTGGCTGTTTGGTTGAGTTTTTCATGTCTTGAGCTGGTGAGGGGCCATGACTCAGTGGCAGAGCATCTGCTTAGCATGCAGGTTCAATCCCCGGCATCTACCGTTGAATTATCTCAAATCACAGGGGTTGGAAATGACTTTTTTGTGTGCCCTGGACTTTGGAGACCAGCTCCCTGTTAGAAGGTCCCAGGTTCAGTCCCCGGCATCTCCAGTTGAAAGGATGAGGTAGACCCAAGGGTTTAACTCAGTTAAAGGGAGGTTCATTTAGGGAGGGGGGTATGGTTTAGTGGTGGAGCTTCTGCTTGGCATGCAGAAGGTCCCAGATTCAATCCCTGGTATCTCCAGCTAAACTTAAAGGATCTCAAATTACAGGGGTTGGGACTGACTTTTCTGTGCCCCCGACTTTGGAGAGCCGCTCCCAGTCGGGATAGGTGGTGCTTAAGTGCATGGATCCAAGGGTCTGATTCTGTCTAAGGCAGGTTCATATGAGCAAGGCAGCTTTAGGAAAGCTGTCGTGACTCTGGGGTAGAAGTAAAAAAGAGCAAGAGTCTAGTAGCACCTTAAAGACTAACAAAACTTGTGGCAGGGGATGAGCTTTCCTTCAGGTAGCTGAACAACTGAGCAGTGACTCATAAAAGCTCTTCCCCTAGCACAAATTTTGTTAGTCTTTAGGGTGCTACTGGACTCTGGCTCTTTTCTGTTGCCACAGACAGACTAGCATGGCTACCCATCTTGATCTATCTCTGGGGCAGTAGACCTGCTCTCTGCGGTAGAGGACTTGAGAGCCAGTTTGGTGTAGTGGTTAGGAGCACAGACTCTAATCTGAGAGAACTGCGTTTGATTCCCCACCCCTCCACTTGCAGCCAGCTGGGTGACCTTGGGTCAGTCACAGTTCTCTCAGAGCTCTCTCAGCCCCACCTCCCTCACAGGGTGTCTGTCGTGGGGAGAGGAAGATAAGGAGATTGTAAGACTCTGAGACTCTGAGTAAAGGGCAGGATATAAACCCAGTCTCCTCCTCCTCCTCCTCCTCCTCCTTGTCTTCTTCCAGAAGATTTTGGGTTTAATCCCCACCATGTCCAATTTATAGCCATTTATAGGTCTTCCTGGCACAGCACACCCTGACTTGGTATTTGGCAGCCTCGTTCCTTCCTTCCATTGTTTGGTCTGATGAGGAGAAATGCCAGCTGGGCTTTTCCCTTTCATAGGCCTGCTGTCATCCGCCTAGATCGGCCTGTATGTGCTGAAAGGGGATCTTTCTGTTCCAGGAGCCAACGGCAGTGGTGGCTGACCCCCTCTCCGAGTCAGAGCAGGCTCCACTGGGCGCGGCGACAAGGCAGCTTTGTGGAGAGGCGAAACAGGAAACAGACGAGGGAGACACAAGCTCACACAGTAAGCAGCTGGGTAAGGACTTCTCGCTCCATACAGTTTTACCTGGTTCTGTGTGGCTTGTCGTAGAACGTGGTGCTTTCTGTGTACAGGTGCCCCAGTTAAAGACCACCCCCAATGTGATCGGAGCAGAGGAGTGGTCCTCATACCTCTGCCATTTTGTGTAATTTTTTCCTACTTCAGGAGTCTGGAGAAGAGGCCGGGGCTTTGAAACATTTAAACACTTCAGACACTAAAGAACAGCATTAAAAATATAAATATAGATGCATAAAATGTTTCAAACAGTTAAACACAACTAGGGATGTACAAGAAAAAAAATCAGTATTTTTTGGATTCAGGGTTTCTTGGTCCCTTAAAAATTTGGCATTGCCTTGAAAACCTGAATTCCAATATTGGTATTGTATTGGAATTCAAGTAAAATTCAGGAATCCGAAATTTTTCAGCCCCATTATATCCTATGTGGCCATTATAGTCAATGGCAAATCTCCTAGAGTATATTCAGTGGGTGGGGTGGGGGGTTTGGGGTAAAGGCACCATATTTTCAGTGTAGCTGCTGGAGCCTCTCCTCAAAAGAACCCCCAAGTTTCAAAAAGATTGGACCAGGGGATCCAATTGTATAGGTACCCAAAGTGGGTGTCCCTATCCTCCATTGTTTCCAATGGTGGGGAAAAAGCAAGGCAGGCATACAACAAGCCCAGGAGATTCTCCCAGAGAGTCTCTGCAGTAGAAAAGTAGGAGGGGACATGTTTCCAAAGACGGCAGCAGAATCAGTGCAATGTGCCCAGCAGAACCAGTGCCCCTGTGGCAGTGCCAAAACCCAACAGATTTGACCTTAGTCCTGTCGGGATCACAGAATCTGATTCGGATTACCTAATGCCTGAATCATGCCAAAAAGGCAGTATTCGGGTATTAATTCGGCTTGGAACACAGGTAAACACACAAAGTGAAAGGAGGGCTAAGAATAGTTTGTGAGGGAACACAAAGCAAATGAAGTCTTCCCCTGCTGGTGTAAGTAAAACAATAACTGAAAGGGACCTACAAATTGCCTCAGGAAAGTTTACGATATCAGTGTCTCTTTTTTGTGCGTCTTTTTTTGTCTGTTCCAGGGGATGACCCATGGGAGCATGAACGTGAGGGAGAGCCAGGCAGGGCCTCATCAGAAACTTCGGAGTGCAAAGAGATGGAAGAGAGCACTGGGAATCCAGAGGGACTGGAGAGGCAAGAAGGAAAGCGGCCGATGGATAAATGGAAGAAAAAACCTGTTGCTGATGATGGTGGCGACCCTCAGCCCAAAAAACACAAAGGGAAAAGATGGATTAAATGTCCCGCCTGTGGGAAACTCTTTTGCCGTCAAACCAGCTTTAATACACACTGGAGAGTCCACACAGGGGAAAAAACAAACACAAGCTTGACCTTCGGGAAGAACTTTGGCTGGAGCATAAGCCTCACGTCTCATCAAAGGATTCCAACAGGGGAGAAGCCGTATCAATGCCCGAACTGCGACAAGAGCTTTTCCGATCAGCCAAGGCTTAAAAGGCATCAGAGAATCCACACTGGGGAGAAACCTTACAAATGCTCGTTCTGCGGGAAGACCTTCAGCCAGAGGCACCATTGTGCCTCCCACGAAAGAATCCATACAGGAGAGAAGCCGTACCACTGCATGGACTGCAGCAAGAGCTTTTGTACGAAATCGAGCCTTAATGCGCATCGGAGAATCCACACCGGGGAGAAACCACATAAATGCCTGGAGTGCGGAAAGAGCTTCAGTAAGAGCACCAACCTTACCTCACACAAAAGGCTCCACACAGGAGAGAAGCCCTACAAATGCTTGGTGTGTGGAAGGAGCTTCAGCCGGAGTGAACATCTCACCTCACACCAGAGAATCCACACAGGGGAGAAACCATACATCTGCTCGTACTGTAGCAAGAACTTCTGCAGTAAATCCAGCCTGAAGGCACACCAGAGAATCCACACAGGGGAGAAGCCATACAAATGTCTGGAGTGCGGCAAATGCTTCCGGTGGAGCACCTACCTTGCTTCACATCAAGAAATCCACAAAGGGGAGAAACCGTACAAATGTTCGGAATGTGGGAAAGATGCTCACCTTACTTCTCATCAAGACATCCTCTCAGAGTAGAAGCCACACGAGTAGCATCTGGGCATTTGAGCCTTATTAACTGAAAGATGGAAAACTGACAAAAATAGTCAATGCACAGCGCGCACACTGCACAGCAGAACACTTTGTCATGAGCAACCACGTGCAGGTGTTTTTAGAGTGGGGAAAGACCTCAGTTGGATCCTGACCACATTTTGAGCCACCTAGTCTTGGTAATTTGCTTGTGTAATTATGCATCATGCGTATATGTTGGCCTTCCAGACACTGGTGACCTTCCCATTCTTGTCAGAATAAAGCAGCTTGTGCAGCTGCTGTTGCAGTAGGCAGAAGCCTTGATTAGAAAGTTTTCCGGTATTCCCATTGTTCGTTCAGTGGCTGTTTTTTTATTGGGCACTAAAAGATCAAGCTGCGGTGGCTCAAGTGGTTAAGACGCTGAACTGCAGGCTGTGGAAGGTCAGTAGTTCAGCAGTTCGAGAGCCGGGTTGCCGCATGACGGAGTGAGCTCCCGTCTCTAGTTCCAGCTCCTGCCAACCTAGCAGTTCGAAAGCAAGAAATTGCAAGTAGATAAATAGGTACCACTTCGGTGGGAAGGTCACAGCGTTCCATGCGCCTTGGTGTTTAGTCATGCCGGCCACATGACCACGGAAACGTCTTCGGACAGTGCTGGCTCTTCGGCTTTGAAACGGAGATGAGCACCGCAACCCTAGAGTCGGACTCGACTGGCTTTCGAGCAAGGGAACCTTTACCTTTAAAAGATCAATGGAGGGAAGGTGACATGGTACAGCCTGATCTCATCAGATCTCAGACGCTAAGCAGGGTTGGTATTTGGATGGGAGACCACCAAGGAAGACTCTGCAGAGGAAAGCAATGGCCAACCACCTCTGCTTCTCACTTCCTTCGAAAGCCCGTTTCTAGGGTCACCAAAAGTCGGTTGCGACTTGACAGCATGTATGTACATAAGAGATCGATAATGTCCAAGGTTAGCAAAACTGTATTTCCCCTGCCTGTTGAGACACCTCTGTGTGCTCTTTGTTTTTACTGATAGCTGTTATAAGAGGGAGTAGCATTTCTTTCCCATATGATGTTACAAATGGTGTGGCTCTCTGCCTTGCAGATAAACCTTCTCGGACACTTGGGGCTCTAAAACAATAAAAGTCATATCATGTTTTTCAAAAGGTGCATTCTGTATTTGATCTTAACCTGTACAGCAAGGAATGGGAAACTAAAAATAATGGGTTGCATCCTACCCCGAGACCATTTGTCTGTCCCAGGGCTGAAGTGGGTTGTATCCAGCCGTGAGACCATTTGCCTGGCCTATGGTTGAAATGGATTGCATCTGACCCTGAGAACATTTGTCATGCCAAGGGCTAGAGGGGTAGAAACTTCCCAGGGCCTGAGAGCAAGGCAGTCCACCAGCCTCATTTTTCTCTCATGAGTGAGCGGAGGGAACAGCTGAGTCAGCACAGTTGCTTGATGTTCTGGAAAATCTTGGGACTTCAGCTGTGGCTAGAAGCCTCTCCAGGACTCCTTAGTCCTATTCCTTAACCCTTTGCTGGGCCCAAAATCACAACAAGTGGTTTTTGTTTTGTTCTTTGGCAGTGAAAGAGTTCATGCTGTCTTTTCCATAGAGCATCTGGATTCCTAGAGAGGCTTTCCCCTAATCTGCTCCTTTAAACAAGCGTAGGTTCCTTCCCGCCTTTCCCCAACGATTGTGTGTGGGAAGTCTCTCTTTGTCCTTCTCTCATGTTTGGCATTTTGATATGGAAAAAGGAAGGCGGATGGCCCAGGCTACCTTAACATTGTCAGCTATGAGAAGCTAAGCAGGGTTGGCCCTGGTTAGTACTTGGATGGGAGACCAGTGAGGATTGCTACACAAAGGGTGCGTTCAGACGGGGGCTTTCTGCCGGCAGAAACTGCACCGGTTGGAACCGGTGCAGTTTATGCCGGCAGAAACGCGATCAGACTCACCTCCATTTTGCGAAGCCCTCCGGTGGACGCCCGCTCACACGCTGCGGGCGTCTGCGTGTGTGTTTTTTTTAAAAGGACAGTTTGAGCATGCGCATAGGCAGCCATCCAGAGAATGGCGAGTTTCGCGCATGGGAAAAAAGCCCTGTCCTACATTTAAACTTGTTTAAAGGGCAAAGTAGCCTCCCTGAGGACCGTGGACGTGGTGGCAGGTTTTGCCAAAGTCAGCCTCATTGCCAACCCGCCTCCCCGTTCCCATTTGTTTAGCCCCCTCGCCCGGACGGAAGGACCTCCGCTCGCTTCTGGGCAGCTGGCCTCCCTGGTAGCCAGGAAAGACCCGCGCCCCCCCAGGCCTGGCTGCCGGAGCAGCACCCCCCGCCCCAGGAAGAGGGGCTGCCTTCTTCTTCCTCGTCGCCTTCTTCTTCTTTCTGCGCTGCATTTTCCTCCCCCCTCCGGACACGCCTGGCCCTCCTGCCGAACCCCCCCTGCCCGGGCGCACCGCCAGGCAGCCCCCCGACTCGGCTCGGCAGGGCCTGCAGCACAAGAGCGGCGCGGCGGGGAGGAGGGGCCCACACCGGTGCCAACCTCCCGGTGGGGCCTGGAGACCTCCCCGGACGACGCCTCCTCCTCCTCCTCTCCAGCCGACAGGAGACGGACGAGGGCCGCTGGGGGAGGGCGGGACTGCGGGAGCCCCGGGAAATCCCCCAATCGGAGTTGAGTCGGCAACCCGGGGCGGGGGCGGGAGACGGGGAGGCCAGCCGGTCTGCTAGAGCTTCATTCCGCCTCCGGCAGCGGCAGCCGAAGGGCAGCCTCCACCCGCGGGCCTCTCCCTCTCCCCTCCAGGTCTGTGCCCTGCCCAGGGCGCCCGGGGACTCCACGGGGGGGGACGGGACCTTTCCCGGGAGGCAGCCGAAGCAGCAAGAGCGAGGCTGGGCCAGGTGAGATGCTGGGGCTGCCGGCGGCCAGAGTGCCGCAGGTCGAGTGCCGGGACAAGAGAACCTTTCACCCGATCGCCCAGGGGGCCCAGCGCAAAAGCGCCCTCCTCGCCCAGCCTTGCCGGCTCGCCCTCCTGGGCCGGCCCTGGCTACGCGTCTCGATCCGGCCTCTTCGTCGCCGCTCTCCTTCTTTCTGTCCCCCACCCCGTGCCTGCTTCCCCCCCTCCCGCGCTCCCCCCTCCTCCTGCAGCCGTCTGCTCTCCGCTTTTTTCTCCCCAGGATGCTTTATTTCTTTTTTAAACAAAGGGCGAAGCTTCGCCCAAGCGCATATCGCCGTCCTTTTTAAAAAAATGGCGGCAGAAAATCGGAAGCCTCGGGCTTCCAAACGGAAGTGGCTGTGCAACGTCGGAGAGCATTCAGAAGGCAGGGTGCACCGTTTACCACCGTTGCACTCTGTTTACCACCACTTGGGACCTAGTGGCAGAGTACAACGGTGTAAACAGCTTTGTAACGGTTAGGGACGGGAGGCAGATGTTCGCCATGTGAACACCGGTAAGTACACCGGTTGGAATCGTCACCTATTCCGTTACAAATGCCGCGTCTGAACGCACCCAAAGGCTGGCAATGGTAGATCACCTCTGAATGTCTCTTGCCTTGAAAATCCTGCCAGGCCACCATAAGTCAGCTGTGACGAGATAGTACTGTCCACTGTCAGGGAAGGAGGTGTAAATCCCACTGAAATCAGCAGGCTTATTTCATGTTTCTGTTCGCAGAGCTCTTTTCCTTCTTTCTGCCACCTTAACTGTGTACCGTGGGAGCCTTAGAAGGAATCTTTGTGCTTTGTGCTGAAAGCGCTGCACTGGTTGCCAATAGCGTACCGGATTCGCTTCAAAGTGCTGGTTCTCACCTTTAAAGCCCTATATGGCCAGGGACCGGCCTACCTAAGGGACCGCCTTTCCCATCCCTACATGTTCCCCCAAGGGCACTACGGTCGGGGAACCAAAATCTCCTGGATGTTCCAGGCCCAAAGACCATCCAATTTGCAATGACCAGGGCTAGGGTGTTTTCGGTGGCGGCTCCTATCTGGTGGAACGAGCTCCCAGAGGAGATCCGGGCTCTGCGGGACCTGGTACAGTTCTGCAGGGCCTGTAAGACGGAGCTCTTCCACCAGGCTTTCGAATAGGAGCCACCGCCACCACTGTTCCATCAACGCCCTATAATTTCCGCACATTGCCACCGCTGGTGCAGGTACCATCGGAGGAAGCGGGACGTTCCTAGGGGATGACAGGGCAGTGGGGATATGCACTGCTGCGGTTGTGTAGCTATACCATCGAGAACACCATCTTGGTCTTAAAATTCGGAAGTGAGTAGGGGAGCACCGAAAATGTCTTCGTATGAATTCTATTTAATTGGTCTATTTTATATTTTTAGTATTTTATACTGTTTTATTGTTATTATCTGGCATTATGCCTCTGTTAGCCGCCCTGAGCCTTCGGGGAGGGCGGGATATAAATCCAAATAAATATAAATAAATAAATAAGATCCATAGTGGGGCTCAGAAGACCTGCTCTGCCTCCCCTCCCCATTTCTCCCCTCCCTTGCGCTCCTCCAGGCTAGAAATCTGAGGCAACCTTTCATTTTGCCCCTCAGAGGGGCACCTGCGATGTAAGAAACACTGGGGAGACCCACAGCCCGGGCAATGTCACATAAGGCTGTTACCAAATATGTTGTTTCTAATTTTTATTTACATCCCGTTTTCCTCCTCGGTTGAAGCCCAAAGCAGCTTGTTGCAAAGTGCTCCCCCTCCTCCACTTTCTTCTCACGACATCCACTCTGTGAGGTAGGTTAGGCTGAGGCAATGGACTGGGCCCAGGACACCCAGCTTCCATGGCAAAATGGGGATTCGAACCCGGTTCTCCCAGCTCTTAGTCTGGCACTATAACCACTACTCAACACCAGTGTAGATAATATACTGTTTTGATTTGAAAATCCCAGTTTCTTTTACCTCACCCTACTTTGAAAAGTCAGCAGAATTATCGCCGTGGAAATAGATGCCTGTTTCTGAACCAAGGGGCCACGGTGGCTCAGAGGTTAAGAAGCTGAGCTGCATACCAGAAGCTCCGTAGTTCTGCAGTTCGAAACCCTAGTGCCGTTTGACGGAGTGAGCTCCCATCTCTGGTCCCAGCTCCTGCCAACCTAGCAGTTTGAAAGCAAGAAACCGCTAGTAGATAAATAGGTACCGCTTTGGTGGGAAGGTAACAGTGTTCCGTGCACCTCAGTGTTTAGTCATACCGGTCACATGACCAC